GACTGCATTATTTGTCGAGCCCTGCTAATGAGAGAGCTCCCATTGTCCTACACCAGTGTTTCTTAAACTTTTTAAGACTGAGGAACACCAAACAATTTTTTTTTTTAAATGAGGAACACCAAGGATTTTTTGTTGAGCAAAACAAAAAAAGGGAGGGGGGGGGAGGTTTTGGGGGAAAGTTGCCTGCCCTTTAAGTGTGGCCATTTTGAACACCTCCGACTGCCATGGAACAGTTTAAGAAAGACTGCCCTAAGAACTATGGGGGCGACTTCATGTCTCCCCCCTGGACAGGGGCCTATTCCAGGAGGTTCAATTCAGGGGAGGGATTAGGGATCTCTTCCTCCACCCTGAAGAGACACCGGAACACAATTTAAGAAACACTGTCCTACAGCATCTTCATTGGTGCTGCCGCAGCACAGCAGCACTAGTGCAACATTGCAAGTGTTGACCTGCCCTTAGGCACCAAACTCAGAGGGGCATGGCTTATAATAAACCTATCATCTTGGCAGCTCCCATTGGCCATTCTGAGGCACCTGTCTCCCTCCATTCCTTGGGCAGGGAGCTGAGGCACCAAACTCAAGGCTTTGTGAAACCCAGCAATTTTTCAAGGTGCCTTAAAGGGGGGCATAGTGATGCTCAGCATTGCCACACCTAAGGTCCTTTGTGAATCTGGCCCTGAGGCACCTAAAATGCATTGACAGTCAATGAGACTTAGGTGCCTAAATCAAATCCCTTTTCTTATAACATGCATCTAGATGGCACTGTGCGGCTGACAATAAAAGTCAGTATTGTAGCATGTGCATGTACCAGCCTTGCCAGAACATGTCCCCACTTCTGAACAGTGGTACCACAGTTGCTTCCACTCTGTGTTTTGCTTCTTCCATGAATGTCTAAAGTAACTGCTTGCAGAAGATATATCTCCAATGCCACATAATTAAAAAACATACAAGATGTCTGAATCATATTTTCATATTCAGTTTATTAAAAGACACTTTGATTGCAAAGTTTGACAAGTTGGTTACAAACAACTTCTGTACACAAGTTATTATGTTTGATGCTGTCCTTAAACTTAACTCTGTATTTAGAATTAACTTTAAAAAAAACTTTCATTTGAAGCCTAATCATAATAGCCAAGAACAAATCAAAGTCCAGAAACACAGAATTAAAAAGCCTGGAATAGCATTATTAACTGGTTATATTGTGCAGTCTGTTTGATTATGGCATAAAGCTTTCAACATATCACACTACACATTTAAGAAGAGAAAAGAAGGTGCAATGTGGCTAAGTTAACATTTATCTTGCTACTTTAAGTATGAGATGCACAGGAAAAAATGTGAACTTCTCTCCACACCTCCCCAACCTTTCTTATGTGTACAGAGGGCCTGAAAGGTATGTCAACTGTTTTTCCTGCTTTGTTTTTTGCATTATAAATTATGGTTGTGTGTACCCTGGCTGACTCTGTGGCAACTAAAGGTCTGGTGACATTAGTTCAGCAAAAGAAACAAAAGCCGAGGAAAAGAACAGATTTTATACTCTATTAAATAGGTGTCTAAAGTACTAAGCTCCAAAGCATAGTGAACATCTAAGAGGAAATAATTAACTTCCACCTCTTTTCACTGTTAAGCTGAGGTGTCAACGCACTCATTACATATCTTGGAATGTCTCCTAGAAATCCTCCACCACCACGTATGATCAGATTCTAAATTTCTGATTTTTTTTTTAAGTTGAAAACATGTTCTTTGATCGTATAAAGATCTGAGACATTTTCTTTTCTTTACAGACTTCTCCCTCAGTAGGAGCTTATATGTTCCCAGAAGAGCACATGCACATCTCCAGACTGGAACGGGCTTAACCCCCACACCTAGAACGTGGTTATAACTTGGCTAAATTCACAACCAGGTTGTTGTTCTTCCAAGCCTCCCAAAGCACAAGGGGGGGGGAGGTTTTGGGGGAAAGTTGCCTGCCCTTTAAGTGTGGCCATTTTGAACACCTCCGACTGCCATGGAACAGTTTAAGAAAGACTGCCCTAAGAACTATGGGGGCGACTTCATGTCTCCCCCCTGGACAGGGGCCTATTCCAGGAGGTTCAATTCAGGGGAGGGATTAGGGATCTCTTCCTCCACCCTGAAGAGACACCGGAACACAATTTAAGAAACACTGTCCTACAGCATCTTCATTGGTGCTGCCGCAGCACAGCAGCACTAGTGCAACATTGCAAGTGTTGACCTGCCCTTAGGCACCAAACTCAGAGGGGCATGGCTTATAATAAACCTATCATCTTGGCAGCTCCCATTGGCCATTCTGAGGCACCTGTCTCCCTCCATTCCTTGGGCAGGGAGCTGAGGCACCAAACTCAAGGCTTTGTGAAACCCAGCAATTTTTCAAGGTGCCTTAAAGGGGGGCATAGTGATGCTCAGCATTGCCACACCTAAGGTCCTTTGTGAATCTGGCCCTGAGGCACCTAAAATGCATTGACAGTCAATGAGACTTAGGTGCCTAAATCAAATCCCTTTTCTTACAACATGCATCTAGATGGCACTGTGCGGCTGACAATAAAAGTCAGTATTGTAGCATGTGCATGTACCAGCCTTGCCAGAACATGTCCCCACTTCTGAACAGTGGTACCACAGTTGCTTCCACTCTGTGTTTTGCTTCTTCCATGAATGTCTAAAGTAACTGCTTGCAGAAGATATATCTCCAATGCCACATAATTAAAAAACATACAAGATGTCTGAATCATATTTTCATATTCAGTTTATTAAAAGACACTTTGATTGCAAAGTTTGACAAGTTGGTTACAAACAACTTCTGTACACAAGTTATTATGTTTGATGCTGTCCTTAAACTTAACTCTGTATTTAGAATTAACTTTAAAAAAAACTTTAATTTGAAGCCTAATCATAATAGCCAAGAACAAATCAAAGTCCAGAAACACAGAATTAAAAAGCCTGGAATAGCATTATTAACTGGTTATATTGTGCAGTCTGTTTGATTATGGCATAAAGCTTTCAACGTATCACACTACACATTTAAGAAGAGAAAAGAAGGTGCAATGTGGCTAAGTTAACATTTATTTTGCTACTTTAAGTATGAGATGCACAGGAAAAAATGTGAACTTCTCTCCACACCTCCCCAACCTTTCTTATGTGTACAGAGGGCCTGAAAGGTATGTCAACTGTTTTTCCTGCTTTGTTTTTTGCATTATAAATTATGGTTGTGTGTACCCTGGCTGACTCTGTGGCAACTAAAGGTCTGGTGACATTAGTTCAGCAAAAGAAACAAAAGCCGAGGAAAAGAACAGATTTTATACTCTATTAAATAGGTGTCTAAAGTACTAAGCTCCAAAGCATAGTGAACATCTAAGAGGAAATAATTAACTTCCACCTCTTTTCACTGTTAAGCTGAGGTGTCAACGCACTCATTACATATCTTGGAATGTCTCCTAGAAATCCTCCACCACCACGTATGATCAGATTCTAAATTTCTGATTTTTTTTTTAAGTTGAAAACATGTTCTTTGATCGTATAAAGATCTGAGACATTTTCTTTTCTTTACAGACTTCTCCCTCAGTAGGAGCTTATATGTTCCCAGAAGAGCACATGCACATCTCCAGACTGGAACGGGCTTAACCCCCACACCTAGAACGTGGTTATAACCTGGCTAAATTCACAACCAGGTTGTTGTTCTTCCAAGCCTCCCAAAGCACATTAGTCCTCAAGCGTATTATAAACTTCAGCAATTCTTGCAGTAGCAGTGTTCCCTTCCCGCTAGCTGAGGGAGTTTGCTCACTCTTGTCAAAACGATTCACCTTGGAGCAGAGGTATTTCAGCCCCAAAGGTGAGACCTTCGAAAGTTAGTAGGGAATAATGGAAATGTGATTTTCATTACCAAAACTTCCCTTGCATGACAGCTCAACAGGCTGCAGATCTGTTAATAAAACATGCTTAATCACCATTAGGAAAGTTACCCATTGCTGATATGGGGTAATGCTAAACATGGTTTACATGAAAATGTAGAGCACCAATGGGGGAAACCTGAACCACTTCAGACACAGTAGTTGGAACACGGTTATGACCATGCTTGACTTATTGTTAGCAGTGGGTAATTTTCCTAGTGTAGGACCATGAAATTGAGTATTTCGTATGTTATGAGGAACTGGCAAGTTCTGAACAAGAGAGCGCATTCTACTGTACCAGAGTGAGGAAGAACATCTTTAAAGATGTTAATTCTACACAAGTTATAGGACTGGCACAACGAAAATTACTGTCCACCCTGCATGACAGAAAACATCAAAGCATCCTAAGACATTACTTCTGTCCTGCAGTATTTGCTGGACATCCACCCACATGTGGAAAACGTAATACACTAAAGGCAAAGTTTTCAAATGGATTTCAACTAAGCCTTTAAATTTATGCATGCAATCATTAGCGATTGAAACAACAGATTCTGGTGCATGCCTTTTCCCATACTGTCAATGTAACGGTCTTCACCTCCAGCTTTCCTACCTATAGGCCAAGTTGCACAGCAGGTTCTGGTACAGAATTGGGGTATGTCTACACTACCCCGCTAGTTCGAACTAGCGGAGTAATGTATGCGTACCAAACTTGCTAATGAAGCCCGGCATTTGAATTTCCCGGGCTTCATTAGCATAAAGCCGGCGCCGCCATTTTTAAAAGCCGGCTAGTGCGAACCCCGTGCCGCGCGGCTACACGCGGCATGGGCTAGATAGTTCGAACTAGCTAGCCATTCCGAACTATCTGTACACCTCGTTCCACTAGGTTTACAGATAGTTCGGAATGGCTAGCTAGTTCGAACTATCTAGCCCATGCCGCGTGTAGCCGCGCGGCACGGGGTTCGCACTAGCCGGCTTTTAAAAATGGCGGCGCCGGCTTTATGCTAATGAAGCCCGGGAAATTCAAATCCCGGGCTTCATTAGCAAGTTCAGTATGCATACATTCCCCCGCTAGTTCGAACTAGCGAGGTAGTGTAGACATACCCTCGGAAACAGAACCATGGCTGGCATTATTCTACTTTCACCACTAAGTTGACATTGCCTGTGCAATAGGAGGAATTCCTCCTTTTGTGACCTCATTCATTACACTGATTTAAAAGAAGCGACTTTATTTTTCTAGTTAGCGATTTGAATCTAAAATATGTACATAAACATACAGTACTCCCCAAAAATATCACCCTGTCAAACCCACAATGAGTTAATTCCTTAGAAATGATAGGGTGGAACATTAACAGTGGTAGACAAGGCAGTGGAAAGAGCCACCTCAGTAAAACCCCCAGAGTTGAAGGACTTATCATTCAGAGCACGACAAAATCGAACAGCTATAAGTATACAATCAATTTACGTATAAACTATCCTAAAATAGGCAATTTTTCTTTCTGAACTTAATTCTGAAGAGAAATCTGTTCTAATCAGTATTCCCAAAGGTTATTGTTACTGCACAAAGAAAGAATCCCAGTATTCCACTAGCATGCTCCCAATTCTGACACCCTCTCCCACCTTGTGTAGAGCTACCCTACGTTTTACATATTATGAGGTGAAAGTCAACAGTTCGATGAAAAAGTGTAATCATCTAGTATGCAGGATATTCCTCCTGCCAACTTCCTTCAAGGAGCAACTTCTTTGGATGTCTCAGTTGGAAAGGTGCTCTATTAAAAATGAGAGATCAGTAATAGACAAGACAATCAAATCTAGGATAAGAACCACTAAGAAATATGTGCAATTAGGTCTGAATGCTGCAGTAAGAGATACAAACTGCTCTCTCTCATTTAAGATACAAAACATTTTTTTTCCTCTTCACTATAGTCTATCATATACTCTGGGTAAATCTGATGCTTCTCAAAGATGACAAAAATGGAAGGAACCATCGTACTGTCCACACAGCTGTCGTAAAAGGAGAGCCCATTCACCGGTTTTTGTGGGGGACGAACGTAGCTTGGGTCTCCTCTAACAAAGTCTCCAACTAGAACTCGAGCCACAAACACTGTGTTCCCTTTTGCAGCAGATTGACTGTAGGAGTGGGAATATTTAGCATCTGTGGCAAAGTAACTTCCTGGGAAGGACAAACAAGCACAGTAAGGATACTTGATGAGTATGCTGTACTTTATACAGGCGGCACAAGACAGCACAGTGATTAGGATGTATTTGTCTCAAGTTCCAACGAGTGAACTTTTTGTCTATTGCCACCCAAGTGGAGATTTCACCCCAGACAAGGAAGGAATTTTACCATACAGTTCCCATTAATTTCAAGAAGGAAAGTAGAGGCTGGGTTACAAAGGAGTGATGGAAAGGAAGAGTAAATAGCCATACAATTCCCATTAATTTCAAGAAGAAGGAAAGTAGAGGCTGGTTACAAAGGAGTGATGGAAAGGAAGAGTAAATAAAAATAGCATAGAAAGAGTAAGACATCAGATCAACAGGTATAGCACAAGGGAAAATAATTAACATTGACTGCTGGAGGAACAAAAGTCAGCATCGGGGGGGGCATGGGAACAGGAAGTAGGTAAGGAAAGAGACTACTTGTCTCCATCTAAGGCTACATCTTCACTACCAAGTTCTTCTGGCAGAAAATATGCTAATGAGGGGCTCTTTAGCATAAGTTGCTATCTCATTAGCATATTTTCTGCCATTTCTTTTTGCGCAAAAAGAAGCAGTGTGGATTTTTTTTCTTTTTTTGCACAAAAACCCCCATTTTGCGCAAAATTCTTATGCCTATCTGGGAGAGGCATAAGGATCTTGCGCAAAACGGGGTTTTTGCAAGAGTCCACACTGCTTTTTTGTGCAAAAACCCCTTGTGCAAAAAGAAACGGCAGAAAATATGTGACTGAGATTGCGACTTATGCTAATGAATTCCTCATTAGCATACAGTCTGCCAGAAGAACTCGCAGTGAAAACAAAACCTAACTGAGAGAATTACCATCTTCCTCAACTCCCCTCCTGCTGAGGTGAAGGAGGTGATGGACAGGCAAGTTTCCTCCCACTTTCTAGGAATCAAAACAGGCACCCTCGATATAACAATTCTTTTTCAGCCCCCAAATTCAGTTTCTCAAACTCTCTCCTACCATCAAATTCTCTACCTACGCAAGCCAATTCCTTTCCACTCCAAGAGAACATAAATCAATGCAACCAGTTACCACTGTATCATCATCATTGGGTGCTATAAATAATGCCTGTGATTTCATATACACAGCCACTTCCTCCTCACCTTTTCCATACTTCGTTCCATGGACCCCACAGATTCTCCAGTCAAAATTGTGATTGCAGATGGCTTCCAAATAGGAACTGTTAGTTCCATGGAACAGGAGCCTCTCATCTACATCTTTCCCTCCATTTTTCTTCTTCATCTGCTCCTTTTGCCTGATGTGAAAAATATATTTAAAGATATACTAGATGAGATTTCCAGCCACCTTCTGCACTCCCCTAGAATGCAGATTAGAGCTGCTAGAAAGCCACAAAAAGTACTTGGAAGATAGAAGAGAGACAGTCATTTTAAAAGTGTTAATGTTCTGAAAAAGCTCATCAAGATTTTCAGAAATCGTTTTACTGTGCAAATCAGCAACCCTGAATCCTTCAGGAAGGGCTCTAAGTTAAGGGGAATAGATAGACCCGGTTTTGCCTCCTTACATTTTATAAACATGTAAAAAGGGATCATGGAGAAAGCTACACAGCAAATGGATTAAGAAGCTGTGTTAAATATTGTTAATTATTTTCAAGGTCTGTTCTGTTAAACCATTTCTAGCAAACACTTTTTTTGCTTCTTAGCAATTGTGGTTGTTTCTTGGTTACACTATTAGATCCATCACTGGCAAACCCAAACTGTTTTTGAGGGGTAAACATTCTATCTAACTAGGTAGATTCTTATATGCTCTCCCAGTCCGTACTTGCCACTGTATTAAAGCACTCATTAAATACTTCTTCCACTGTTCTTAATTGGCCAACTATGCTATACAGTATTTTAAACCCAGAAGGAACTAGAGCACATTGATAACAAATAAGCCAACCCACAGGGAATGTAGCTCAATGTAGTTTGGTTTTTTTACACCAGGAACCCCTAAAATGCCTGTAGGGTGCACGGTCTGAGAAAAAAGCATGACCCATTTGTAAAATAACCCTCTAAAGGAGACACTCTTGCTCCATTACAGCAGAGTTATTAAGGGATCCAGTCTCCTTTTGTACCTGTGTAGTGAAGACTCCATCTCAGGGCAATTCTATATTCAGTAAACACAGGCATATTTGCACCCCAGTTCTTTCCACAGGAGTAGCTAATCCATGCAGTCAGATGCTTTCCTATAGAGGGAATGTTATCTTGTCCAGAAGGGGGCGCTAAAGCTCAGCAGCCACAGCATATCAGGAATAAGTAGCTAATTCACCCCAGAAAAGACTGGGAGGTGTTTCAGAGAGTCCCTTTAAGTCACGCAGCTAAAGTAAAATTCAGCACCACTCTGGGATCTCTCCAGAGTTAATGACAGTCACCAGCAAGTATGCCCAGGAAACATCTGTGGAAGTTATGAGACTCACTCCCCTTGTCATGGGCAACCAGTGTAAAATAATAAAATAAATACAAACCACTGGAAGACTTGCCACAGGGACGGGTTCTGAATCCGTCTTATTCTCTGGATAGCAAAGTTGTTCATTGTCTTTTTAAATAGGCTTTCGATGTCAGTGTATTCAGAGGATGTCTTAGTGATCTCCACTGTCTACAAAATACCAAATCACAACCAAAGGTTACAGGAAGAGTTTCAAGTAGATGTGAGGGAGTGACCAGGCTTTGATAAGCAAAGCCAGTGAGATCAAAGGATCAAAGATGGCTCTTTTGAGCATATGTAGTGTTTGAAATCCTATTCACTCACGCTATGTCTACAATGCGGCGCTATTTCAGAATACTGGAAATATCTCAAAATATCTATTCCGTGTCTTTTGAGCAATCCCATTATTTCAAAATATAACAGGTTTGCTATTCCAACATCCCTATAAACCTCATTCCGTGAGGATTAAGGGACGTTTTGGAATAATGCTCTACTCTGAAATAAATAAGCCATTTCAAAATTAACTTGAAATAAGCTACGCAATTTACGTAGGTCAAATTTTGTGGCTTATTTTGAGTTAAGGGTGTACTGTAGACGCACCCTCACAGAGCAATAATAAGCACAGAGAGTTCTATGTGAGCTCCCCCATTTTATTCTGTGCAGCGTTGCTCTCTTTGGGAAGGACCTCTCAGACAAAGAAAGATGAATCCAAGTGTTTCTATACATTGCATACTTTATCGGTTGAGATGGCGATCTGTCAATTATAAACTAGACTAAGACTACCAACTCCTGCAACACAGGGCCACCAGACGGACATCAGTTGGTAACATTTTTTCAGTCACTGCTGCCTCGGGCAGATACGAAATCGAAATTTGAAGTGAAAGGCCCCAACGTGTCAACAGTGCATTGTGAAAGCAGCAGCTTTGTCAGTTGTGCCATAATCAGAAATGAAAATTCAAGCATGTCAGTGATTTTATAAAGTTAAGTAGGACTTGGATGTAGCACAATCAGCTCTGTATCCAGTTTACTTTTGCTTACTATGTCTACTATATATTATAGAGAGTTTGTACATCTGTCTGTCCATGAGTCTGTCTGTCCATCTGTGAGTCTGTTCAAGAATTCCTCCTTAACCATTAGAACTAGGACCACCAAATGTGGTAGGCAGCTTCCTCTGACCCTAACTTAAAGCAAGATCTGGGTTTGGTTGTGCCAGGAAAATGAGATGTGCCTGCAATGGGATTGTTTTCCATAACATGGAAAGGGAGGGAGTTGCTAGGAGGGACACTGCTGCAGAGTGACCACAGGCGGGACACCGAGGCCAGCAGGAGGATGGGCTCTGAACGTTACTCGCCACTGATAAGTTTCCGTGGCTGATGCTGACTATGGTTGCCTCCCCTTAGCTGGCTCCCCTGCCTCACAGGGTGAGCCCAAGCCACAGCAAACCGCTCCAGCCTGCCACAGAAGGAGCCCAAGCCACTGTCCTCCTGCACCCTTAGCAAAGGACGCCCTGAGCAGCTGCCACAGCAGCATGACCTTAGACAGCTACCACTGCCAGCCCTGCACCTCATCCCCTGCTCTGGGCCCCCACACATACCCACCTTCTGCCCTGAGCCCCACAATCGCTGCCCTAAGTCCTGCCACTCCCAACTCATCCTGAGCTCTCCACTGAACCTTCTGCCCTGAGCCCCCCTACTCTGACTCATGCACCCCCATATTCCTTGCCCTGCACCCTACAAACCCTACCCTGACTCCTTCATCCTCACCCCTTGCCCTGAGCCCCTCCCCGACACCCAACCCTCTGCCCTGACCCCTGCACCCTCCATATTCCTCCTTTCCTTCACCCCCTCCCCACAAAAGAGTTAAGGACCCGAGCAATGTCAGGTATATCTGTTAGTATCTATATATTAGACAGCCTCTGAATGGACACTTTTTAAAAATCAGTTAATGGGATTTTTAGACTGAACCACGCTGAAGTGACAAAAATTATTTCTTTAGATTTATTAAAAAGCCAGCAGTGTGAAAATTGCAACTCATGCTTCTTTTATGCAAAGAAACCTTTACAAAGCCATTTCGCAATGTAAGTCATCAAGATCACAAAACCCACACTTATTAGAGCAGGGGTGGGGAACCTCAGGCCCACGTCTCATTTGCATATCTTCTTGCACAAGAATGCGCAATGTAGACATAGCCTAAGTGTTCAGTGGATCAGGTCTGGGCACTCAAGAGAGAGATGTGCAGAAGACGCAGGGGTTGATGTGTGCTTATCGTTAATCTACACAGAGAAAAGGGCTTGAAAGATCTCATGTTGCCAGAGGCGGGTGGATTCAAGGAGTTGGTCCACAGTAAGCACGGACAAGGCTGCCTCATACTAAGGGCAGGTGGTATCAAGGCTCCTGACAACTTTGGGAAGTGTCACCAAATGCCCTGACCCCTTGTAAATATTACCAGATTTAGAAGTTCTATGTAGAAAGTAGAGTGTGCTAGAATATACACTGCAGATATTATATTAATACATTTTATGCTCCTGGGGTAAGGTTGCCAACTATGACTGAAACTATTCTAGGAGATGAACCTCACCTCCCTCCCCCAACATAATATAAAATCATTTCTTAAAATATCCTATTCAGATCTCCAGGACTAATTAACAATCACCAGTAAATTGATACTGATTCTAGAAGACTAAGCCCCACCAAGTCACCTCATACCCAGATTGTACCACAGAAAATCCTGGTACCCTTGAGGGAATTCTGCACTGAAATTTTTTTTAAAACATTAAAATTCTGCAAAGTTCTGAATATTTTATTTGTCAAAATAACACAATATAATCACACCATTTTCAATTCTTTCAGTATTATATTTCAAAATTCTTAGCAAATAATTGAAAATAGTGCGATTATATTGTGTTATTTTGACAAATATACTGAATTCTAAAATACAGTCTGAAGAATATTTCATTTTTGGTGCAGAATCTCCTCAGGAGGAATTTTAAGACAATATCAAAATTCATTCTTTTGCCATTTATATCTTTTCAATTATCAACTCCTTTTTGTCACCATTAAACAAAGTAAGGTAGGGATTCACAACACCAGATTTACTAATCCTACCATGTTATCAATATCTAACAACTGAGATTATAGGCATATAAAGCTTTACTTTGCACAGGATCATTCATGTCTCAAAATACTTTACAGAATAAATATTACAATCTCCAATATTATGTATAGGGAAGGAAAAAGAATATTGAGGACCTTACACTAAACAGGGAAGACTTTTTTTTTTTTTGGCAAGTCTCTCATATGTGATCCTTTCCAGTGTAGAAAGATTTGCAGGAACAGTCTACAAAGCCAAGAAGAAATGAAGAAAATGAAGAAAATTAATCAACACTGAGATGTTAGATGTTGTGAAGGGCACCACAAAGGCACGCAACATCCCTCAACACGGAGATGTTAGATGTTGTGAAGGGCACCACAAAGGCACGCAACATCCCAGCCAGTCATGATGCAGTGAAAGAGGAGGATTACCTACTGTGAAAGAAAAGCCTTATGATCTGTCTCAGATTTGCTTCTATCTGGGCTACACTTTATGAACTGTTCATACTTGGCAGCTATTTACACCTTCTATCATCAAACATTAACTGAGACAAGGTACTTGACTGAAACTCAAGCCAGATTCGTTTAATCACTCACCTCATTAACACCACCAGTAATAAGATGTTTCTGTGAGCCAGATTCGTTTAATTGCTCACCTCTCTAACACCACCAGTAATAAGATGTTTCTGTCAAATTGTGTGTGAAATTAAGCCTGTGCAACCCCATTGCCTCCAGTGAGGTTCACACAGGTATGCAGAATTGGAATTTAGGTTGGGATTATAAAAAAGAAAATAAAGGAATTAGGCTTCCAAATCCCATTGCCATTTAAAGGGAATTGGGCATCTAACTGCCTTAGAATGTTTTGAAAATGCTAGCCTTTGTTAACTCATTGCCATTTAAAAGGAATTGGGCATCTACCTGCCTTAGACTGTTTTGAAAATGCTAGCCTTTGTTAACAATTCTGTTGATAATACACAAGGAGGAATTTCCTAATTCAGCTGTAGTGGCAGGGATAAGAGGAGCAAAGACTTGGCCCACATTCTGATCCCCTTCCTTGTGCTGAGTAGCACTTTACTCCATAAGTTATTCGTGGTAAATAAAAGCACCCAACTTGAATAAGAGTATCTAAATCTGGTCCACACAGCCTATGGGCCAGTTGGCACTAGGGATATTAGATACAGCATAATTGAATAGTTATGTAACCACATGAAATTTTAGTAGTTACACAGCTATTCAATAGTCCCCAGGGATGGGGTCAGTAGCCAATGCACTCCTGGCCTCACTCCCAGGGATCCCCCTGCCACTCCATGCTGCTGCCTCTGTATCAGAAGCAGCAGCATAAGGTGCCAGGTGGGAGCTAGTCCGCGAGGGGAGTCATTTTAAAAACCAGCTCCTTGTACAGACCAGCTGCCTTAGTGCCATGGAGATAAGGCCAGAATAAAAACAATCTGAGAATCACGAATCCAAAACTAGCTTCTTCATGCCGCCAATTTATTCTGTGCCCAAGTGACTTGGCCAGCTTCACAGAGGACACGTGTGGCACCACAAGTAATAGAGCCTGCACTTAAACCTCTGCAACCCTATCTCCACTGGGCTTTGCACAAGGTATCTGATAGGAACACAGGCTGGAATATCCAAAGGAAAGTAAAGGAGGAACTATAAAAGTACTCTGTATCCAAGCACTTGACTCAGTCTCATTCATTAGCCACATAAAAACTATTAACTAGATGATTCCAGTATTTCTTTTGATCCATCAGTTGAAGCAACATGCAAATACCATAGAAACTGCTAGCAAAAACTCCTAGACGTCCAACAGCCTCACCCTTGTTTGTTAGCTTTATTTATTTGTGTATATGTTTTAACACTGTATTAATTTAAATAGATACTAAAAGAGGGGCAAAGATTTTGCAAGCTTCAGTGAGGCAAGCCAAAGTACAAGATCGAAAAGAGGGGCAAAGATTTTGCAGGCTTCAGTGAGGCAAGCCAAAGTACAAGATTCACTATCTGAGAGCTATTTTCAATTACCATTTATAATTAGCAACAACCTTTAATCTCTCTCATTTACAGGAGTCCTTGGCCTATGCTTAGACCTAAAAAAAATGGAACACTTGGTGGTGTTGGTCAATGGGATATGGAGATTTTCACTTCTAAGTCACCAGTCCAAACATCATGATGTAATGACCAGATCATCATCATAGGATGGCTCTTTGGTGGTTTATGTGGCAAGAGTTGGTACTCTCAGTCCAGGTCCTACTGAAAAAACGCAAACTTGAATTCATCTGATGAAGTGGGTTTTACTCGCGAAAGCTTATGCCCAAATAAATCTCTTTATTTCTAAGGTGCCACAGGACTCCTCATTTTTGCAGTGCAGATGTCCAGGCTCTAGGATCCTTCCACCTCACAGGGTCCCCGAGCCTGGGCTCCAGCCCAAACATCTACTCTGCAATTAAACAGTCCTTTCATCCAAGCCCCATGAGCCCAACTCAGCCTTGCACTGGCCAGCCACAGGGGTCTAATTGCTGTGTCGATATACTGAAATTAGACCTACCAGCTCAACTAGCATCCATACTGGCAGCCTCAGGACACTGTGGGCCACATATTTTAAAAGGCAGTCACCTAAACATGCAGATGAAATCAATGGGAGCACAGCACCTAGTGGGGTTTTAAGGGGCTCATCTAGACTACGCAGAACAGTCCGGGAGCACAGCACCTAGTGGGATTTTAAGGGGCTCATCTAGACTACGCAAAACGGTCGAAAGAGAATATGCAAATTCTGCAGGAATTTGCATATCTTCTTCTGATTGCACTTTCGAAAGTGAAAGTAGTTTAGATGTGGCTTTTTCGACGAACTCCCCCCTTTGTCGAAAAGCTGTGTAAGCCTCAAAAATAAGGTTTTTTGCGGCTTTTCGACAAGGGGGGGTTGCCAAAAAAAGCCGCTGCTAAACTACTTTCACTTTCGAAAACTCTGCTTTTTAAAGTGCAATTGGAAGAAGATATGCAAATTCCCACAAAATTTGCATATCCTCTTTCGACCATTCCGCATAGTCTAGATATGCCCTAGGAGCTGCATAGATGTCGACCCTAAATACTTTTTAAAATCTGGCTCTTTGTAACTATATTCTCAAATGGCATGTTTCACTAGACATGGAAATTTTATCATGTTCCTTTGGGTTCAGGGCCTTTCCATTACAAGACCCTGCATAGGAACAACCCAATCTCACTGGAACCAAAAGGAGAAAACACAAGTACCTTGTACCCCATGTCAGGCAATGCTGATTTGTCCCAGTGTTTAGGATAGTTTTGATCTGGAGTAGCAGCAGTCCCTGTTTGGCTGTTGAAAAACAAAAAGAAAACTAGGAATGAGTCTATAGTACTTCCACTCCAGTCTTCTCCTTAACTGACAGGGTCCCCTCAAAATAAGTCTTTTTTGGTCATTTCCCCAGTCAGAATTAGACAACACAGATTTAATCTTGCTACTTATGTCATATTATCAATTAAATATTGTCACGTGACTAGGTTCCCTACAGGAACGATTCCCCCTTTTTCTGGTGGGCAACATTTCTTAGCCCCATGCTATGCTTTTGTAACAGACATGTTCCTCCCCATCAACACCTTTTTCTCCTTTTACCCCATGTAGGACAGGAACAGACAGATTCCTGTTCATGCAGCAGAGACACTGCAGCAGAGACACTAGCCACGCTGTCACAGATTGTGGCACTGCTAATACTATCTGCAAACCAGCAGTTTGTTACATGATTCAACCAAAGAATGCAGTACTCTGAGGTAAACAAGAACCATTGCATCTGCCGTAGCATCAACCATAATGCAATCAGCAAACCAGAATTATCAATAAGTATCAAGAAACTTCTCCAATAGTAGCCACCATTCCATATAGGCAAGGCTTGCCAAACCACGGCGAGCCCTGTTCGCCAGCCACGCTGTCCGGTGATCTGTGCATGTGCAGATCATTCTGCGCATGCGCAGGTCGCCCGAATCCAGCTCTTGTATTATTTGTCGAGCCCTGCATATAGGGGTATTTCATGTTATGGTGCAAAAAACATAAATATGAATGCATTGTTGAGTACCCTTTCTTCATCTTTTTCACATCTTCAGAGGACACAAACTTTGGTCGCCTGCGGACTTCTCTTTGAGTCTGATAGTGGATATTTTTCTGCACCATTTCTTGAAAGAGAAAATGTATTTTATTTATATGTATGTCTCTCACTCTCTCTCTCTACTGCAAGAGGAAATATACATTCATCTGCTGATGGAATCTGACAGTTGAACTTTTTGTCTGTTTAGTAACTACTAAGACTATATCCACACTGCGGAACTTTTCCGGGATACCGCCGCGTCCAAGGAATGCGTCTGTTTTTCTGAAAAAAGTTTTGGAAAAGCAGACGTGTTTTTTCAGCATCCCTGTAAACTCTTCTACAACCACGGCCATCTTAAACAAAATAACAGTCATAGCAAAACAAAAAACCGAAGAGAAAAGCTGTCTTTCCCCCTTTATCTTATCCTGCCCTCTTTGTCCAATTCCTGCCTTGTTCTATTCTGTCATTAATTTGCCAGGGATCTGTAAACTGAACAATGCACAATAGTTTATATGTAGTCTAGTAGCTGTATAGTTTTATGAAGAAGAAAAAAACCCAGTTCACCTGTGCAATATCGTCTGAGGAGAGAAACCTGCAATCTGTAAAGTAGAGAAGGTATTAAGTAAGTGAACACACACTGACATATTCCTTCTCTACTTCAATACTGTTTGGGGAAAGAAACCTGCAATCTGTGAAGTGGAGAAGGAATATGTTAGTGTGTGTTCACTTACTTAATACCTTCACTGCTTTACAGATTGCAGGCTTCTCCCCCCAAAAGATATTGCACAGGTGAACTGGTTTTCTTTCTTCATAAAACTCTACAGCCAACCCTATTACAGCGTTTTCCGTCTGTACACTTCTATATAGTCTAGTAGCTTTCACAGGCCATCTTGTGGAAAAGCACTGCAATATGGCATGTGACAGCTACTAGACTAAATATAAGCTATAATGCATTGTGCTCAATTTGAATTAAAGGGCTACAGTACCTTTAAAACTGATCTCATAATTTTGGGATCCAGCTTGAAATTGTACCGTGTCATTTGGAGCCGCCAGAAATAAATTCTCCAAGTCATCAGAAGTTAGCGCAGAAGCGTCACGCAGCCCATCCTATAGAATGGAAGGGTGGAAAGACAGCAAGTTTAAGCCCATCGGGAAGGACAAAAGTTGTTGCACAGCTGCCAATTTCATTCGTTGATAAATGCGAGCCATGATTTCTGACCTCTGCTAGTAAAATATTATAGTGCTTATATATGATAAGTGGGCCTGGTCCTATACAGGTAAATAAATGGACAGATCCCTGGCCATATCTATATCAGGTCTAACACAGTGAAGTACTGAGAGTGGGAAAATATGGTGGAGGGATGGAGGTCAGCTTTGGAAGACTGAGGCAGAGACTTTGAAGGAGGTACACAGGGTCAGAAACTTTGCTCTGGGCACAGCAAGAAGCTAAAGGTGCTTGGTGGAGAATGAGACCAAGACAAAAATAAATAATGATCATAATCCTTGGCAGTTACAATGCCTACCATGCATCGATCTCAAAGTGCCATATAAGGAAAGGGTGTCATTACCCTCCTGTGCCTCTCAAAAATTCTGTACAATAAAGAAACCCACCCAAACACTGCTGGACATGAGAAATGCCTCATTCATCTCCATGGGGCATTATCTTTGAAATCTAATGATGTCAAGTCCAATGTAAAATTGAACCACTTAACCACTGATCACTGACTTCCCCAAGATTCAAATTGCTTTTCATGCCATCCAAGGTTCCAAATGCCCCACCTGTCATCTAATCTGCAGCTCCCATTGACTTCAACTGGAAATGTAGGCACCCGGTGGAGTTCAAAATGTTACTGGTTGTGAACAGGCTGGGAGAGCGTTTCTCTTCCTATGCCAGGCTATAGCTGCTCATGCAGGGATCTCTCTAGTAGACTGGCAGCTGGCTGTGACACCATTACAGTTGCTTATAACTTTGCTAAACTTTAACTATTCAGGCGGAACTTTCCCATGCTGGGAGTCCAATGCAGGCTAAATTATTTTGAAAAGTTTTAGCTAAGATTAGACCAAGAGAAAACAATTGCCATTATTTAAAACTTTCTTGCAATCATTTTGCTGAGAAGCTCTCCAGCCCTCATTCTTTGGGAGCAGACCCTTGAAATTTTGGCAAATTGGGGGACTTCCCTGGGATCAGACAGGCGCCTTTTGTTGTCCTGGTTACAATCCACATGAATTTGGCTAAGTTGATAAGCCTTTGAATATTGCTATTTTCACAAGCTCACATGCTCCACAGAAGCTTGTAAGGAGTCTGGCATCTAACTTCTTCAAACATTCTGTCCAAGCAGAGCATGCTCCAGCTCAGCACTACAGGGGCTCAGAGAGCTTTTCCTGCAAATCTTCCTATCAGACATTTGGGGCCAACTTTCATGTCAGACACATGAACAGAGACCAGAGAGACTTTCTTCTGTGCTCTCAGTGCTCCACTGCTGGTGCCCAGGTACCAGGGAGGAAGAGGAGGCAGCCTGTATCACATGCAAAAGCGAAAGCAGGGACAGGGTATGATGTAGAAGAGCATAGCAGGCAGAAATAGGTGTGAGAAATATACTAGGAGACAGACTGAGGAGGACAAGGACATACTCCTTTCCACAACCTGGAACAGAACTCAGGACCCCCAAATCCCAATGTTTCTTTGTCATCTAGAAAATGCATAAATAATCCATTGACAAAGTGGCTCTTTCATCGCCTCCTATAGGATGGTCCACTTATAAGGATAACAGCCTACTACTGCTGCCAGTGGCTCCATTATCTCCAACCCTGCTGATGATCCACATGGGAGTCAGAAACGTGGGGGGAGTAAGCATCTCCTTGTGATAGGACAAGGAGCTATACCTCCAAGGCTCCTTCCCTCTTATGCTACCAAACCCAATTCTGCATTTGTCAAGTCCTTACTGAGAATCAATCCCCCTGTTCAGGGCTTCAATAACCTTTGTCCCAATTAGGACAATGAGACGGCAGAAATTCTTTGGCTCCAATAGGGGCTAATGAGCCTCAGGTATCCTGGGTTTAGGAACAACTTCTCTAAAAGTTGCTGGCCAAGGTAGAAAGGGGAACCTACGCCTGCCTTGTTTCCAGCTCGGGATCCTTGTTTGGAACAATGAGAACCAGCCCTTCTGTAATCCTGACAGCCTTCTGCCCCCTTTAGACCATTGGTTTGTCTGGCAGCTTCTCATTCTGCAGGAAGGATCCTCTCAGGCAGCTGCCTTGCCCACTTACCTTGCAGCCCTTTTAACCTCACCTTGCTGCCCTTTTAACCTCACAGCTTCTGTGGGCTGCCAATCACTTCCAGCTGAGCTAGCAGGCAGTGGCTTTGCTAATACTTTGGCTGATAAACCAGCCTGGGATAGATAGTTCCTATGACAGGGTCAAAATTGTTTCATATGATGAAATTTCTCTTTTGTCAATTTGCTTCTCTATCTTTTTTTTTCTTAATAAGAAAGTGCACACAGAAGTTTACATTAAGAGAATGTTCAGGCTGCAAAACTGCACATTAAAAACGAAATGCCAGTATTAAGATCAGTGGGCACTTGACAGTTTTAGTTTTAAGCGCTCTGTGCCTCAGCTCCCGGTTTGTAAAATAAGGATAACAGTATCCCTTCATCTCATCGGGGTCTTGTGAAGATTAATTCATGGATGTTATGAAGCATTCACATACTATAGTCATGACAGCCACAGAAAAGCCAAGGAGAAAATGTAGAACTCTTTATTAAGTGCCAGGTTTGGACGGTGGGCAGTAAATAAAGCCTTGCCTCACAACTGAATGAAGAGGGTATAAATAAATATTGAATAACTACCCCTTCATTGATCAACATCCATCCTGATCTCTCTCTAAGGCTGAAGTCCTATGGGAAAAAAATAAAATGTGATCATGTTGTTAAAGATTGTATCAGTGCATATACACAAGGGAGCCAAATTAAGGTTGCACAGGCAACTTTCATTCTGGCATCTCTCAGTTTTGGAGTGCTTGACTTTGCAACCTTAATAATGTTATCACAGTTTTCTTATGCATAATGCTATTGGAAAGGCATTCTCCTGGAATGCCCTATAAATCTTGAGTATGATTTTCCATCACTAGGCCTGCTAATGCACTGTATCCAAGAGGCTAAGAAATCTAAGCAAGTCTTAGCTTTTCTCATGTTATTTTAGGAAGGGAGAGAGAAACTGGTACAAGATTATCAGGTGCTCTTTTGAGGGGGCACCTAGAACAGCTTATAGTGCTTGCTTTGCCAGAAATAAATACCCACATACAGTCGGTGCTCAGGCTGTTTTAATTACTAATTAAGCAATGGGAAGGGGCTCGTTGGCTTAATTAATCAAAAAGCAAATAAATAAGTAAGATCTATAGGTTACTATCCAGGAGAGGAAACTGTATTTGTGACATCTCTCCAGAGATGGTTCAGAGGGCATGGACATTACAAGGTGCTCACCTGTTTCCCATATTCAATCCACTTGCCTAGATCATTTTTCCAGTACCAAATCCATTTTGTTGTCAGTATGAATTTGGAGGGCTTTGTAACCGATGAAGGTGTGGAGAGACGTCGAAACAAAGTAGAAGTAGAGGAAAGTGACTTGAAATTGATGTTCTGGTCTGCTACGCTAGAGACAGAAATTCAGAAAATGACACCAGTGCTAACTTACTTATCCTCTCTGATCACCAGCTGAAAGAGCTTCCAAATTTATACATTAGAGGCAGAACTGGCAGCACTGCTTCTAAGTTAAGTTTGCTCAAGAAAATTGCCCCACACAAACATGCTCTGATTTAAGAGTTTCAGATTCTTGGGACTGAGAACTGAACACCAGATAAAAACTAACCCTGTCCATATCTCTAACACAGAGCATGCAAACTACATGACGCCAGAAGCATCACTGCTGACTGTCTAGAAAAGTTTATTGGCTAGCCCTAATTTATTTATTGATGTTTTTTGTAATGACTCACAAATGCACATGATGCCAGTAGTTGTTTGCCTCTTACTAGAAGAGTATAAATTGTGTCACGTTGCAGTTAATCAGCAATAAAAACCTGCAGTTGATCAGCATTCTTCTCATGTTGCAGTTATAGAGGGAATGGCCACATGTGTGGACTCTATAGGCTGCATTATGCTGCACTTTGAATGTGCCTGATTTTAATCCTTGTAAAGCTTTGGAATTTGACTTAAAATAAGCCTGGGCTGGCTCAAGCCAAGTGCCCTGCCAGATTCAGATGGATAAAAGCCCTGATCCTGTGCTATGCTGCCTGAGAACAGGTATTACAGAAACAGAACCAAATTTCTTTGTTCTTGGGTAGGCAAGAACTCTCAAACAAATCTTATTTTTGCCAATCCTGGGCTTCAGAGAGCCCCAGAGCCCCAAGATCCAAGTGCTGGGTCTGTCACAGAAGGAATGAATACGAAAGAGGGTGACCATAAAGGATGCTCCCATTGCATCCTATAGCTTGGATGAATAAGATCCACCACGATGTGCCCATCCTTCACAATGGAGGACTTCATACAAGATTCCTCAAGGCAAGTTCCAAACATTGGCTGTATAAAGGATTGACAACTATAAAGCTTGTATTGACTTTCACAATCCACAGGCTCTGAAGAGTTATTACAAATAACTGCTTTATAAATTCTATTTTATTACACACCCAGTCTGTGAACCAAATGCTACACATTTCATTACCCTATATAATCTCAACTGCAGCACAGAACTCTATGGGTTCTTCCACTTACTCCAAGAACATGAAGCCTTCTTCTGTCTAACCTTTCTCTCGTTTCCTGTGCACACTCAGGTTGTCTCTGTATATTCTCAGAGACCCCATTCAGCAACAATTTATGTTACTGAGAAGGCTTGAACAGAAGCTTAAGAGGTCATCAAACAGCTTTTGGGAGAAGTCTTGTCTATGGGCATCAAGCATTAATGTCCCAAATTCTCTTGAGGTAAGGAGTTAACCAGAAACTGAGCTAGGCTGCCCTTGTGCTACCACAGAGCTATGCAGTGCCTTTACCAGAGCCAGCACAGAGGTTTTAAGCGTCGCTATACCTGTCGTTTTGGGGGTCACAATAAGCCTTTTCGACTACCTCCATTCTGGGAAGATCAATCCAGTTGACTCCATTAAATGTCTGCCATCGATAAGGCAGAGAATAATGAATCATCCTGCAGTTATCTGCAAAAAAAACCAAATATGCTAAAGAGTTCACACAACCTTAGAACAGACTGATGGCAAGACACTGAAATGAACCTAGTGGTAAATCCTGCAATGCGTTTTTATTCCCTCAGTTTGATTCTGCTCTCATTTGCATCAGGGTAAATCAAAGTTAGGCCACTGAAGTCAGAGCTAGATTGGAGTGAAACTGAAGCAAGAGTTGAAACATGCCCCTTCTACCCAGTAAAGCGCTGTAAGCTCTTTATATTGTTGATTGTAAGTCATAGTTCACACAACTTTCTTTGCTTAGATACAGCCCTGACAACCAACACAGGCATGCGTGAGAGCACTACTGTTTATCACTGTAACACGTAGATATGACTCAGCATTTATCAGCTCAGCCCCAAAACACCGCAGGGAGAGAGTATGTAATTTCTCACACAAGGTTAAACAAACAGATTTCACCAGGGAAACCCATGTGCTATGTGTGCAGTTTTGTTGCTCCCTCAGTCTCTTAAAAAAAGAGTTTCAGGACCAGAAAGGGGAACATGCTGAAGGCACGGCCCAAAGCAATACAGAACTGCAACGCTACAGGGTATAAAGCACAGAGGAAGCCAAATTGTTCTGCAGGCAAAGTGTGGGGGCTGGACAGAGCTGTAGGGCTTCCTCCTGCTGTCTTTGGGCCATCATGTTCCCTCAGTGGACTAAGGAGGGGGAGGTCCATATGCGTCCCTGCGTACAGGACTGGCAAGACTTCCATGTCCATCAAGCAGCCAGAGCAGGAGTGAGGAAAGATTCATTATTATTATTATTATTATTTGGGCCATCATGTTCCCTCAGTGGACTAAGGAGGGGGAGGTCCATATGCGTCCCCGCGTACAGGACTGGCAAGACTTCCATGTCCATCAAGCAGCCAGAGCAGGAGTGAGGAAAGATTCATTATTATTATTATTATTATTTGTAATAGCTGCAGTGCCTAAAGTCCCAGTTATGGACTAGGTCCCCTCTGTGGCAGTAGGCACTGCACAAATACAGAAAAAAGAAGATGATCCCTGCCCCAAATAGCCATTGAATCTGAGCCCTAGCCAGAGGAAACTCTCCATTCAGTTCTGTCTCCTCTGTATTTATATCAAGCTATTATTTTATCTCACACTTCGGACAGAGGCAGAGTGAAGCTGAGTTCCTTCCTTTAGCCAGCACTTGCATTGGCCTTGAGATGCTGCAGAGTGCATCAGGGTCTAGTCACTCTTTAAAAACAGAGTTTTGAGGCACCTTAAAGATTAACAGATTGATTTGGGCATAAGCTTTAGTGGGTAAAAACTGCTTTGTCAGTCGCATGGACTGGAAATCACAGAGTAGGGAGTTTGTATATACTGGTTGCACCTCCCTAAACCAGCTGGATCATGGATGTTTCTGAGTGCCAGAGCTCCAGGGCAGGAGGGCCAGCAGGAGAGACCCCTACGCATGGCAAGGCTGGTGAAAGTGGGGCCAGAGCCTTTGCAGCCTGGCAGTGGTAGCAGCACTGTGGCAGCGGGTCCAGGGCAACCCAGCAGTCTGCTGGATGGCAGCCGGACTGGTGCTCTTGCGGCAACCTGGCTGGGACTAGGGCAGCTCAGCCGGAGCCACAAGACATCCAGCGGTAGGGCTGGTGCCCCAGCCGCAGAGCCAGGGTTAA